GGCGTCACAGCTGGTCGAGCTGAAGGAGCTTGGGGGCAACGGGCAGTAAGACTGACTGCGTCACAGCTGGTCGAGCTGACGGAGCTTGGAACGACGGGAGGTAGCATTGACGGTGTTGCAGCTGGTCGAGCTGACGGAATTGCGGAACGACAATGGAGTCGTATAATGAACCAAACATGCTGCCAGACTGGTTTGACGGGGAAATTCCCATACTGGACTACTTGGAGCATTTCGAAGCATGCGCAATCATCAACAATTGGACGGAGAGGAAGGCAACGCATTATCTAGCAGCCAGTCTACGTGGGCCAGCGTTGAGGCTCCTGGGGAAGAATGGTGAGGCAGAACTGACGTACAGTGCATTGACCAGCAGGCTCAAACATCACTTCGGACCTTCAGGAAAAGCTGATGTATTCTTGGCAGAACTACGTTCCCGACGAAGGAAGCCAAACGAGACCCTTCGGGAATTGGGCCAAAGTATCAGATACATGGCAGCAATGGCGTACCAGGAGTTTGGTGCCGATGGACAGGATGAGCTGGCTCGGGGTCACTTTCTTGACGCAATAATGAATCCGGCCATCCGAGAAGGTTTGTTTCGGGCTCAGCCACATACCCTGGATGAGGCTATTGGAGCAGCTCTGAACACGGAGGCTCTTCTTCAGATGGAAGCAGAGAGGGGAGAGTTGTGGTACTCTCACCGTCACAGCCACAGCCGGGTACTGACAGGTAGCGATCGACCTCAGCACCCTGATAGCCCTTATACACCCGAAATGGTGAAGAAGATGGAGAAGGCGCTAACTGATCTTACAGCCAGATTGGAAGCACTGACCCGCCAAGTAGCAAGTACGTCGCAGTTTGGCAATACAGGGCCACACTCCCGGGGAAGACGTCAGGACGGGCCTTGTGATGATTGTGGCCAACAAGGACACTTTTCTTGGAATTGTCCTCATCCAAAGATGCTGTACGCACATGACCGTCCAGAAATGAAGGAAGCAGAGACCAGACGTTGTCACCAGTGCAATGAAGCTGGGCATTTCTTTCAGAACTGTCCTCATAATCCAGCTGGAGGCGATGGGGTGGCGACTAAGCACCCTGAACAAGACGTTGGTGGTTCAGTTACCATTCCACCAGATGAGGATTCGACGAATGTTGATGCACTTGGGGGGACGGTAGATGACATTCTACCAGACGAGGAGACGGCTGGGGATCCACCAGATACCCTTCTACTAGTGGACGAGGCAACCAAAGACCCGTCAGAGGCTGTCCCAATAGATGAAGAAGTAGCTGGAGACCCACCGGACAACAGCCTAGCAGCTGACGACACAGATACAGGGTTGTCAAACAATGTCTAGTCAGACAAAGAGCCTGTTGATTGCTTCCCGAATGTCGATCCTCTAGCCGGTGATGCGTTACCTAAAGATCCACCAAGTACTGGCCTAGCAGTTGGCGAGGTGATCAACGAGGTGTCAGTCGGCGGCCCAGTGAAGCATGAGGTAGCCCAAGACCCATGATTTGAACTCTAGAACAGTTGAACACTTTTGGAAAGAGCCATTTTGAACTGTCAGAAAACACTTGGATTTAGTTTTGATTTGTTTTGATAACATGTTATGATTTGTTGTTGTTGCATAAGTTATAGATAAGTTAGCTTGGGGACCAAGCTTGGGAGGGAAGGGAATCGTGTAACAAATCAGTGTTTTAGTATTGGACGAAGGTTAAGCATTTTCTGTTGTACGAGCATGCGCTATAGCAATATGGTGCATCGTTGATTTAGCAATTACCAAACTGAAGGAAAATGAGCATAAATTACATATAACAATCATGTTGGTGCAATTATCATGTTTCTTTTGGAGATATTATTTGTATAGTAGTTATCTAATCAGGAATAAGGGGTTATACTGAAGATTATATGTGAAGATTTTATGGGATTAGTAGAAATGTTGTGTTGAAGTGTTGTTTTACTAACGAGGACATAATTGTTCTTTTATACGGTTATGTATAGGGAAATTTTTAGGATGGTCAGGATTGTGTGATTAGGACTTTCCATTGCACTGTATCCGATACAGGCCAGCCTCACCGAGGCTGGCCTACTTATAGTTGGCGCTGGCCTTAGTCTTTACTTGAAGTCTTACTTTTAGTCCACACCTGTACTTGTTGAACGAGTTAATCCTGAATGTTGGTTGGTTCGCATTAAAAGAATTCAGCATGCAACTCATGATTGGTCTGATTTCTTAAAACAGTGAAACCGTAGTTAGACATTGAGATCGAGAATCAGTGACAGGAGTTGACAAAGCATGGTGATTGATTGATTGATTGCTCGAAGGATGTTCAATTGACTGTTGCTGTGCACAACGATTGGGGTGACCGATTGCAGTCGAAGGATGCATGATTGTTAATACGCCCTGTGACGTGAGCAGTGAAAGAACTCCAGCCATCAAGCTGCGGGCATATACTTTGTCCAAACGGACGGAGAGCGCCTGGCCGACACGGGGCATCCTGACAAATATTCCGTGTCAAGCCAAGGTGGCGAATACGTGCCCGCCACAATACCCTGCTTTTACACTGAGTCTCAAGTTTAGCATAATTTTTGAAATACCGCAAAAGTTACACCGCGCCACGCTGAGACCACCCCTGAATGTTTATCTCACATTGCATCACATGACTGTAAGAAGTAATTGAAATGGTCTACGGGGTATTATATACATAGACTTTTATGAGCACAGGCCAATTGGTCCGTTAATTTGCTCCGTTGGAAATATCTATTAAAGAAACTACGGGGTCTGTGTAATATAGGCCTCTTTTGTGTTTACCATTTTATTGCTATACCCACTTCCTCACATTATTGGGTTGTTTTACTCGGGAATTAAGTAGATCTGATTTTCGAACTTTACATTCTTCATTTTTCTATTTATTCAATCACAGATTACCAGCTGCATTTATTTAGCGGTATGGTCCTGGAACTTGGTTCTGGCTGTCAACGCATTCACCAATCCAGATGTTACAGGTAATTCACGCAGTTCACTGTCTCACTCGTATCAATACGAAGGGGAATGGGGCATTTACTACGAAGGAAAAGGGGCACTTATCAATGTAAAAGGGGCACCTATCAAATGTTAATAGGGCCACTTATAGGAAGTGAAAAGGGGCACTTATGAGGAATGAGAGGGGGCACTTTTAGGGTACTTGAAACAGTGTGTTAGGTATTGTGCGATGGAGAGAGGGAGAGAAAGTGAAAAGAAACTTTTGAGATGCCACCGAGTTGGTCATGAAACCGATAGACCACGAGATTGATATTTCGGTGGCGTAGACCTTTTGACTACTCTTCTAAGGATGTACTAGACCGTCGATATCGGTCTCGTGAGCTGTCAGTCTTCAGGGATGTCGGTTTACAGGAATGTTTCCTGTTATAGATACTTTATACAATAAATACATCTAATTCACTTTAATTCAAATTTAACCCTTCCGAGACAAGTATTCCAACTTCACGGTTTCATAGTAAGTTTTAGTTAAAGGGAGTCACTCGTCAGTTTCCAAGTTCCGAAGGCCATAATTCGCTGACACGAGACTTGGTGAAAATACCGTTAATGGGAGTACAAATCTGCACGCAGCGAACCCGTAGGCCAATCAAGAATTACCTCCTAATCTCTCGGAGAGCTCGAGAAAAAATATAAATTTAGCCCTTAACTAATTGCTCTCTCGAAAGGGTCAAAGATGGACCTTCCTCATGCTAACGATTATCGTATTTCTTCTTACTTATTTTCTTTTGTGATCATTCTTTAAAGGACCGGCTGTTGATGGGGTCTATGCAGCATACGGTATTGATATTATCGTCGCCGCTTTTCTTCTCATCGCATCCATTATTCTCTTAGTGGGCGTGCCCCTGGTAGGTCCGAGAGACGAGTTACAGGGACAATGAGAGAGCTAGAGAGAGAAAGAGAGAGAAAGAGAGAGAGAAATAGACAGAAGGGGGGGGGGGAGAAAGAGAGAAAGACAGATGGAGAGAGAGAGAGAGAGAGAGAGCAAAGGGGGAAGGATGGGAGGGAGAGTGTTAAAGCATGGACCTAACATCCATGGTTAGAGTGACGGACATTGTTGAGGAGACAGAGAGAAAGAGAGAGAGAGGTAATTGATGAACGAGTAAGAAGGAACTTTCGTGACACTAGTGTCCTTTGTCAAGCAACAATATACATATGCCACTCTCCACCCAGGTGAAGGTAATAGGATACAACTGGGGTTGCTGCACAGGGCCCTCGGGAATAACAGTACTAATACAGTATAAATACGACCATGAAATATAATGTGGCCATTGAAACAAGTTTATCAATAATGTGATAATAGAAACACGAAAATGACACCAATCAAATGAATATGCCGCTAGAGAAATTTAGTTAAATCAACGAATTATTTTGGAATAACGTTGATTTCGTGAACTGCTGGAGTAACGAGATTCCCGAATATCCTCATATTCGCATATCGAGGTTATAATCGAACACATGTATAGCCTTTTTTAAATTCATGTACATTCGGCATCGAGGTACCCGCATACAATACTTAATATCTGTTCTAATGTGTTGATTACAAAATATTAATATTATTTAATTTCAATGGTAAAACTCTTTGTTCTCGCTCGCTACGCGAACTCGCAAAATTAAGTAACAAATATGCCCCTACGTATGTTCATGGAACTGTGCCAGAATGATGCCAAATGAATATTCACTGATGAATTTAGGATTTGGGTGACGCGAAACTCGTTATTTCACAAAAGGGTGCCGTGACTAACAGAAGGTTGAAAAACGATGGCCTCATACGTCATTCATATATCTCCTGCCTTTAAATGCAATTGACAATCGGGTTGTTTTTCTTAAACAGTCTCCAGTCAATTGCATTTGTAATTAGTTAAAAAATCTGAAAAGTACTTCGTTGATGTTATCAATTCCTCAGATAATTATTTGATATTTATGGTTTGTGGATGTCTTTTTCTATCTATTCATTTTGCAGCACAACAAGGCGATGCTGATTCCTTACATGGTGGGGATCGTGGCTCTTGTGGTTTTACAAGCCATTGGATGGATTATCATCTTCATCCTCCTCGTAAGTGATCTTGTCCGATGGCGTATCCAATGGTAGGGGGCGTACCTAAATGCGTCAACAGGTTGGGGTCAGAGGGAACACTCCAACTGTTTTGGGATCCTATTCTTTGCTGAAAAGCACTTTTCACTGTTTCACTCTGTTTTTATGTGTTTGCTCACAGGCACAGGAAATGTTCCATCTCTATATTCAATTAGTTTACCCCCCCCCCCACCACAAGGATATTTTTTTGTCCGATTTGTTTTCAATGAATTATACAGCTTTATTATTTTTTACTTGAGTTCTACTCTACAATGCTTTACAATGCTTATTTTTAACACACAACTCTGAAAAGCCCATACCGTAGAAGGAGGGGGGGGGGGGGGGGCGGCCCCTATCCACACACGCTCTCTCAAATTGTTCCCCACTTATAAGAATCTGAAGACGCCATTGGCTGCAGCCTGCATGGTCAAGAATTTTAAAGCTCCTAAAATTCGATCCATGAATTTTGTTGCGAAGACTTTGAATATGAAAAGGATAACTCAAAAGCTTTACAACAAAGAAGTTCTATTACAAAGAAGGTTGTAAGCTTTGAATAAAAAAAAAGGAGATATATAAAGTATTCGTTTACAAGTTAATTCCATGAACGATAATATTCGTTGAATGTGATAACCTCTATATTAATTATGGAGGCCTATATCAAAGAGAGTATCAATATATTAAAAATATATTATGATTCTTTCTTTCAGATTTTTTAAGACACAACAAATTGATGGTCTCCTTTTACTAAAATCTGTCGCAAAAAAAATAAATTTATAAATTTCTGTTTACCAAAATGATATGACTGTAATTTGCATATGCTTTAATTCTATTTAAGGGAGCCGCATCTATCGTGCTGATCGTGAACCTTGTCGTCTGGCTCCTATTTACTGCCCTCAACGTAAGTATTTTAACAGATCGCTTGCTTTCTTTGCCTCTCTGCATGGTTGCTCCTTTGCTTCACGTGCAATTATGCATACAACAATAGGCGGAAGGATTGCTTTGTGCAACATAATGGGTTGCAGTGTTACCAACTTCCAGACTTGATTAACTCCAACGCAATCCTTTAATAGATTAACCGGGTATGGATTAATCTTACCTGGAAACAATCAATCTTGAATTCTTTGGTATATCTGTCCCATGATAATTACTATGTGGAACATGTGGATAATGTGTACACATATAAAGGTTAAATGCTGTAGTCTGTGCTTGTTATGTCACTTCTCCGTTAAAGAAACTATCAATCGGTTGTTATAGAATATTGATTGCAAGAAATAGGGACATTATATTTGAACCATAAGGACTACACATTAACAAAAAAGATAAAAACCTTGCTGAAAATAAAACACAGCGAGGATAGATTTACAACGACACGGATAGTATTAGACTTGTCGCCTCAGAATGTGGTCCAAAGTTGTTTACTATTTCAGGTCATATTTAGAAATATTGGAGCATTTCAAATGCAAATCTTTTCAGGTGGCATTGCTAGTATGATACTCTTTCTCATGGGAAGAATAGGAACGAGGAAGCTAATTAAATACTATTTCCACCTCCAGCACTTTTAATACTTCTCGATCAGTGTCCAGAATGAAATGTTGAGACTTAACCTAATTGATATGTATGAAAATATTAAATTGAAATGTTTTTTAACGACATAACTGATAAGTCATCTGGAGAAATTTGTATGAAGAAACGAGTAATATTTGTACATTGTATATACTAACCATTTATCATTAAGCTGTAAAACCTCCTATTGCAGTATTCAATATTTGAACAGAACATCGCCATCAAACCTCAGAAACGACAGTAAATACTTTTAGTAGTGATATTCTATATCTGAGTACTGTGTAAGATATATATTTTTATTAGCAAAGTGCACGATTTGATCAATACGGGCTCTAAAGCACTAGTACTTCTACACAAATAATAAATGAAAGATAACGCTGAAAGTAGCGTTTTTTTAATTAAAAATTAAATCAAAACTAAAGGTACATGTGTTTCCACTTAACAGTATTTAAATAAAGCAAATGTATTAAAGAGTTTTAATAATTTTTGGCGTGTATAAAGTATCGAACAAAGTTATATTAACTGGATCATTTTTTTCCAGACAATTCTTATGTTGCTTCATTTGATCTCTCTTTTTCAGATCACGTGTCTTCTCTGCGTCATCTCGCAATACCAAGAACTTAGCGAAGGTCGAGGAAGGGCCATGATGACATAAACATAGCAACATAAAACTTTCAACAAGTTCAGAAGTTCAAAGGCATCCCTTCGAACGCGTGTGACATTCAATTCACGCGTTTCAATGCGTTCTCGGCGATCTTTTATTTATGACAGTTTCATGAAAAAAACCTGGCCTATCGAGAGGCTGATGGCACCAACATACTAAACAAAAGATTTACATCATATCAGTTCACTACATGATCACAACACAAGACATGCTGTAAGGGATGCATTGTGTGTACCCAAATTTAGGACGGACACTTATAAAAAATAGTCCTCTAATTTCTGGAATTAAACTATGGAACCATCTTGAAAGTTCTGTCAAAATGTCACCTACTTTGACCAGTTATAAAAATGCTCTAAAAGCCCTGTTATCTGTATATGACGTGTAAGCGAACTTTTAGGGGGGGGGGGGGGGGGGGTGGGGGTTCGTATGAATGCAAATTACATACCTTCCATGTTGTTAGGTTGGACAAGCCATAATGTTTGTCCTAGCTAGCAACACTTACTGTATGCAACTCGCATTCTCAGAGTTGAAATATATTTAATTGTAACAGGTGAGTGAAATAAATTGTTAATATGGACTTAGCAAAGATTTTATGCAACAAATTTGATTACATTATGAAAATGGTCTATTTGTGATGCATTATGGGCGTTGTGGGCAGCTGATGGCAGTATACGTAAATCTTAAGAAGTGTCTATGGAATACCCTTCCTTTAAAGTGACCCGGTAACATTGTAGAACGTTGATGAAAAAACTGTGTAGTTTTTGTATGAAATGTTACTTATCATATTTACTTCTACTGTACTAACCCTCTAACATGCAAACAAAAATCCTGGAAAAAATTCCCAAACCACAAAGATATTAATGCTTTTCCTTGAAGGCGTCATTGTGCAACACCCTCTCACAGTAAAATCTCCCAACCATTTTTGAATTTTCCCAACCATTTCTCCATGAAAATAAAACATAAGACAGGCTTTTAAAATCTTTCAACACTTAAATGTGTGGAATGGCAAATAAAGCCTATTCATCTGTTTGTGACGATTTTCATTCACCTAAAATCTAATCAAATTTTAATAATAAAGTTGGGAAAATTAAGGAATCCATAAGATCAGTTTTTCCCAATTTGTATCAATAATAATGGTCTGTTTTCACTCAAACTTTCAGATTATCTTTAATTGTACATTTAGCAGTGAAGCATCATTTTCTCTCATCTTAACAATGTTGCCAATCCCCTGTAAACTGTAACACCTCTTTGAATCAAACTGCACTTTGTTTTGGTTCCCTTTTACAAACATTTCTAATTTGTATATCTGAAAAAAATGCTTTCAAAGCAAAATATATATTGGTCACAAAATCATTTATTGATCTTGACCGGCGACCAGTTTTGAGTATCGCGATATTTTCATATGCAGTAGTAATAAAACAATAATCAGTCGTACAGGTAAATTCATAGCAGTATAGGTTGCTACTTCAAAAGCTGTATACGCATGCATTAGATATACTTTCTATTTCTCTTTCAAAATTTTATTTTTTAAATATACTTTTAATATGTATATGTATCATTCTTAAGCTTATGTTGACGTTGTAGCACAGTAATGACAGCATAGATAACTATTGGAATACTAGATAATGAGGCTGGTATCAAACTGCTGTACAAATTATGTTTTTCTGCAACATGCATTTTACTTTCATGATCGGAGCCAATATTCATTAAACTTTCCTAGACCGCGTTCTTAACTAAATATGTTGATTTACTACGAAAATAAGACTTCTTGCAAATATTACTTATTCAGTTTCTATGTATCCAGAAAATGTCTGAAGCTTAATGTGCATGTTGAAATTGCAACAAAACAGTAGAGTAAAAATTTTACAGTAATCAGCTTTAAATGGAAAGCAGGTGTAATTTGTTCACTTAGTGTAGAAGTAGTCCGCAGGTACAGAATCTAATTCGACTCTTGATCACACATCCTAAAGTCTTCAGCAGAGCCTATCTCGTTTGGTCTCTGACTGTTTCCGTAGCAGATTAAGTACATCAGCGTAGTCTCAAAGTGTAGACACTGTTACGCAAATCGAAGGACAAGACTTAGCGCCTGCACACTGGTTTTGAAGTATCTTCCATTTATGCTTGTAATGTAAATACATGTACACAGTTGAATAATGAATGCAATAGTTGATGTTCATAAAGGCCCATATTCATAAAAAAACATATGATGTAAACTAACAGTACATTACTATTTCTACAGTGTAGTATTCAATACTCTATAGAAAATACCTGATAATAAGTCCCCATATTGGCATAAGATGACGCTATAAATGATAAAGACTAGAATATATATGCTTTTTATCTAACATTTTTCTTTGGTCACACAATCTTGACGTACATTACGTTTCCATCAAGTGGATTTGACAATAAAGTAACCATTACTATAGTCCTAATTATGTACGACTACTGTAGGCTTTGTAATTAGTTGATAACTAGCCTAGTAAGGTGTTATGTATATGGGTTCAGAATGATATTACACAATGTCTTTAATATAATATTTGATTAAAGATTAGGCAATATTTAAGGTTTTGAGACAGATTTTCTTTGGCTTATTGTTTAATAAATTCTCGGATCTTAAAAACCCAACGTTGTCGATTTTATACTTATTTGTTATTGTATCTCTGTGTTTATGAACAACTTTCTGACCACACAGTTAAAATGACTACAAATGATTGTGAATCAACTTATGAAGAACACCAATCAGAGGAACCGACACTTAATAGCACGCATGGGACTAAATCTAAGCGGAAGCTGCGAATACATGCACTGCTGCATTAGTGTAAACAAAAATACCAAACAGAATCAATGGAAGCAGGTCTTAATTTACTTACATTTGCTAGTTTACGTCATATAGGGACTTTTTAGCTATTAATCTGCGACCAATTTTGTGCTTTCCAATTTAAAAATGATTTTTCTGTATTTGTTTTTCTTTCCATGAGTGTCAGAAATGAATTATTGATTTGTTACTTTGTGTTAACTCAACAGTTCATCAATACTTGTATCTTGAAAAGCCAATTTTATTTAAGTTCAAATAAAAATCAATAAAATCCCTGTGGAGGGAAAAAATATGGAAAAAAACCCAGTTAGAAACAGGAATTGTAGGACAAGAAGATGCCCAAGTATCTTCATATTTCCTGTATTGAGGTAACTGAATATAATATATTCTAATAAACTATATATTATATAGTTTATGTTCATGTATTCGGCACCAAGGTACCGGCATACACATATCTTATATCTTGTCTAGTGCAAATGTACCCGTATGTGTACATGACACTTGACGAGTGAGAGAGTGATGGAAAATTAATATAATGTGATGACTTTAGGATTTAGGTGACTCGAAACTTTTTGCTAGTTTAAAGGGGGCTAAAAAAAAACTACTTATTTTTTAACGCCGGGTTACATCGTGGCTCTCTCACTTTTCCTTCTTCATTTTTGTTGAAGAAGACAGGGGCATTACATAATTTCTCCTCGTGTGTTTTTTTCTACCCAAACAAATTAGGATGGTTTTTAGGCCAAGAGCATTAGTTTTAACATGGACTTTTTCCATAACAAGCTGATTTTTTCAGGATAGCTTCAGGAATATGTCTAGATTAACATACTAAAAGTCCTCATAAATCCTCCTTGAGCGTTTTCCGCAATCCAAGATGGCGTCCAAAATGGCCGCCATTTCCTGTTTTTCTCATAAATTTGAAACTAGGTAACCCCAATACAAAATTTAAATGTCTAAATATATGTTTTTAGCATAAGGAACTCAACAAAATACACGTTGATTAATTTTGAAACACACAAGTAGCTTTAAACCACTTTAGCCCTTCTCGAAATCCAAAATGGCGCCCAAAATTGCCGCCATTTCCTGTATTTCTTATAACTTTGCAACTAGATAACCCAAATACCAAATTGAATTGTCTAAATATATGTTTTTCAGCATAAGAAACTCAACCAAATACTTATTAACACATTTTGAAACACACAAGTAGCAGTAAAACCACTTGAGCCCTTCCCGAAATCCAAAATGGCACCCAAAATGGCTATTTTTTCAAATTTTATCTCATTGTACTAAAGTAGATACGTTATGAATATAATCAAATGTCTAGACTGAAAAGCACCATTGAAATTATACATATCAGTCCTACAAACTTTTCATTAAAAAATACTTCTTATGCATGAAATACACACACACAAACACACACACACCCACATACACATATGGCTGCTTCCATCATCCTCAACAATATCAGACTGACAGTGTGCAACCGTGAAGAGTACTCAACATTAGATGGAACTGAAAATGAAACGTTAGTACCAAGGTCGCTAAAGCGTTTTATACATAATGACTGTAAGATATGTGCGGTATGGATATTGCTTTGCTGCAGCACTAGTTGGAGGTAGGCTTTCTTACTGAAAGGATGAACTCAGAGAACTGCAAGAGATTCAAAACTGCTGGCCCCATAAAGGCTTCCCCGGCTCTTTACCTCGTTATAGGTGCTTCTACTGCGAATGTATCAAGCAAGTCATAGTCAAGTTTCTTGTGGACCATATTGAAAGTTTTATGATTGCCCTGACGGTAGATTGCAGAGACCGTATCACACCCTGTCATAGTCCGTGGGCCAGAGGGGGCTACCGTGCACCCCCCTACGATCCTACTTTTTGGGTGTCATTTTGTTCATTGGGGTCCATAATATAAGAAAAAATATGTTCCAAAGAAAAAAACTCATTTGGACACTGTTTTTTTGCTCCTTATTTGAAGATATGTAAAAATGTCAGTTTTTCGTGTTTTGCACACTTTCTTAGGGTGTGTGAATTATGTGATTACATTTTACCCTGTTTCTCAGCAGATATAACTCTAATCTCCATCAAATTTATAAGAAATCTTTGTAAACTATACAACAATAGGTAGACAAAATTATTCTAATTTATTTTATTGTCTTCAATTATTAATGACGTCATAGATTTGCATATATTTTGAT